TTTGAACTTAATTTACCCTTGAAATTTACAACAGTCTTTTCGAATCTAAACATTATAAAAACCCTAATGAATTCTGCTGATCCCCAGCAAATGTATCTAGGTATGTGAATGTCGAATCTGAATTTCTGGGGGTTGCATTGCAACGGTATTTTTTATGTTCGTGCAACCCTTGTCTGTATCTATAGGCCTTGTTGCATCTGTCGCATACAAAAACACGTTTAGGAGGGTTTCGTAGTTGACTGTAGGGTCGTCCTCGTCGATTCGGAAACCCCATGTCTAACTGCATTTTCAGAAGCTCTTCTGGAAAAGAAAAATATATTAGTAAGGGGAAATAGATACATGGTAACATTAGGATAGTATATTAGACTGAAACACCATAATTGTCTCGAAGCAACTTGCAAAATTCATTCTTCCATCCTTCTTGTAGACACATTTATACCTTAAAAGCTTATACAATACTGATAACTAAAATTTTAATAATTATACAAAAAACTAATTTAAAAAAAATAAAGTCGGTATTTAGTTTACCTGACAATCATTTATTATGATATAAACAAATACCGTTATAACATAAGCACTTTCTATTTAAATCAATACAATTATCATACTTATCAGTTTAAACACGAACTGTAAAGACTGGATTATCCAGTTGATTTTTGAATTTTTTTATTCAAGTTTTTCGAGTCTTTACTGTAATGGTGTGAAAAAAATGTTTCTTACAATTTGTACATTTCTATAAAATTTCAATGTTGTTGTGCATTTCAATGTTGTGTCGAAATACGCAGTGTGTTTAACCTTAACCTTGATTCGTGCGACCTTTATCAAAGCCTGAAACTGAGTCACGGTCGCGAGTACGTGGATAGCATTGCCAATGAAAGCGCGTACAAGGCCGATGAATTTCACAGGTTCTAAACATTGTATATACATATACATTTAAAAAACATTTACGTGTACGAATTGGAAAAATATGATTTGTAAGAATTGGGAAAATATTGTTTAATCAAAAGTAAACAGTAGAAAAAAAACAATCATTTATTTTTATAGAAATTATTAAAATATTTCAATGTGGGGTACAAAAACTCTCACGACAGCGTTGAATGATCACTTTATGAAGGTCATATATAAATATTGATAAATAATAAAAAAATGTTGCTTTTGAAAAAATGTTTATAAGTGTCTTGATAATCAGTTTCTTGACTTTCTTATAAATTGAAGATTTAAAAATATTATTATATTATTATTTAATTTGTAAGATATCCAAACATATTATTTATTTATTTATTTTTTAACACTGGACCAAAGATATATCATAACTTCATGCACGATTTATCATTTTGAGGTTTTAAAAATACTATTACTATTAATATGTAAGTAATATAAAAGTATTAACATTGGATCAAAACTTCATGCTACAATTTATCACTGACTGACGAAACTAGAACAAAAAATGTGCTATTATATAATAATATATGTAAAATATATCATTATATCACTGGCGTAGCAATTTATTACTGACTGAGAAAACTAGAACCGAAGTTGTGCTAAAGGATATATCATTATATCAAAGGCGTAGCAGCTGCTTTTTATTATAGAAAAAACGTGCAAATATATATTAAACAAAGTTATTTTTAGTAAACGATGCAACTAAAATGCTAACTTCACGCTTGATATATCAATTTTTCATTGACTGACGAAACTGGAATGGGAGATATGCTACAGGATATATCATTATATCACTGTCGTAGCATCTGATTTCTGTGATAGAAAACTAGGCAAAATATATATTACACAATGTCATTTTTAGTGAACGATGCAACTAAATTCCTAATAAAACCATCGTTTTCACTTTCAAAACATCAACCGAAAATGTGCTACACTATATATTATTTTATTACACTCGTAGCAGATGCCTTTGTTACGAGAAAAGAAGAAAAATCGAACAAAAGTATTTTTATTTCGGTGAACAATGCAAATAATGTACTACGACTGATATTTTTTAAATTTTTGAAATTCATGAATTTACGTTTTTACGACCAAAAAAGTGAAAATTTACTAAAATTTGACAAAACTAAAAGTTAAAATTTGCTCCACGATATATTATTTCATCAGTGGGTAGCAGCTGCCTTTTGAATGATAGATAAATCAGGCCAATAAAATATAATATACGATCATTTTTCGTTAAAGCACCTGATTTATTATTGATATTTTTAATTTGCTTAAAATTATTGTACTATCTCGTTTCCACATGAAAAACTGGAACCAAAATTTCATTTTATAATTGCTATAGCAGCTGCTTTATGCCATAGGAAAACTAGGTGCACATGATATATTATACATGTTAATTCTTTACAAAAAAGTAACTGATTTATTATTAATAATTTCATTTTTCTTGAAATAGTGGATTTTCTCGTTTTTACGTGCTAGACTAGAATCGAAATTTGCATTTTAGCAATTCCGTACCAGCTGCCTTTTTACTATGGGAAAACCAGATCAAAAGGTATATTATAAATGTTTATTTCTTGTCAACAATGTGTTATTTACGGCAAATGATATTTTTTCATTCTTCTTGAAGTTCCAAGATTTTCTCATTTCCACGTGCAAAACTAGAATCAAAAACTTGATTTTATCACTTCCGTAGCAGCTGTCTTTTTACAATGGGAAACCCATACAAATGACATATTATACAAATTTATTTTTCGTGAACAAAGCAACTGGTTCATTATTGATATTTTATTTTCCTTGAAATTAGTGGATTTTTTCGTTTTTACATGCTAAACTAGAAACAAATATATGCTTTGCGATATATCATTTTATCTCTGTCGTAGGGTTGTAGCAGCTGCAGACCAAAGATATATTATATATGTTTATTTTTCGCAAACAGAGTAACGGCAAAATTCTCTTAAAATTTGTAGATTTACTCGTTTCTACATGCAAAACTATAACCGAAAATGTGCTACGCCACAAATGATTTTATCACAGCCGTAGCAGCAGCCAATTTTACCATGGGAAAAACCAGATAAAGATATATTATTTTTGACTATTTTTCGTGAACAATGGAATTAATTAATTCTGACCATTTTTTTATCTTCTCGAAGGTTGTGAATTAGGAACCGAAAATTTGATACATGGCAATAAATTGGCCTTAGGACTCTCCTGCACCCAAGTGTATATTATTATCCCTTCCACGAATTGTAGAATTAGCATGCATTTTGTCACCGAAGCCGGCAGAGTTAATAATAATAATAATAAGAAATAATAATAGTAAGAAATATATATATATATATATATATATATATATAAATCTTACTATCGTTTTATATTCCGTGGTTTGTTATCATAAATCTAGAGTTCAACGTTCTTTGATATGGAGAGGTGTATATTTATTCAAGACTTGATGTAGGTCAAGTTCAACGCGCGAATCATATGTTTCCGAGGCTTACACACTGCGTATACAATTTATAAATATTGCCTGAAATATTTAAATTAAAATTTCATAAAGTTTTATCATAGATGTCCATGTCAGTATATATCATAATTTTTACTTTAAATGATTTTGATTAATAATAATTACTGTTTAATGCAATTACAATATTTTATAACACTTTCACCGATTTAAAAAAATATGCCCATTTATAATGTAAAATTAATTGGTTAAGAACTTAAATTAATGGAATGTTAAAGTAAATATACAAATAAAAGATTTACTTATGCTATTGGAATGTCACAATTATTTATAATGGTATGTTCTTATTCAGCCTAAACCTTAATAAATCTATACCTGAGCTTATACTTAAATCTAAGACCAAGACAAACCTAGTCATATAATAATACAAAACAATTCTTATATTCTAGCATCCGAGATCTTAAAAAATCTTGGCAATAAACAACATCTAGAGGTATTTCAATTACAGAAATTTGATTATGTGTACTTTTTAAAGAAATATATATTTCTCTAATTATTGGAATGATATGTTTAGTATTTCATATCAGTAAAATAGAGAAAATTTATTGAGGTATATCGTTTCATTAGAAATTTCAATTTTGTGCTTATTCTTACAATTCTTATGCTATAAATTCAATATTTTCCATTTATAAATTTCAAGCAATTTTAAACAACAATTTATATATAAAACACATGGAATATGTTAATTTTACCTATAACAATTATACAATAAACTATTTATCCCTGAACCCATTTTTAATACTATAGTAATTTGACACATTTTAAATTTTGTAAGTACAATATTGTACTATCAATATTGTCTTTAATTCAATATTATTTTATACTTTATATTCATTTAAATTTACTAATTGGAAATTTGACACGTCCAGGTACAATTTTCTTTAACAATTACAATAATAACATTTAGAAAGGTATAAAAAATAAAAATAGATTCATTGTACTGTTATGTACAAAATTACATTTAATACTTAATACAAGAATGTTATGAAAATAATACTTCTATTAAAATCTCTTATAATTAAATTAAACATGGAATGTAAAAATACATGAAACAAAATTTACACTAAAGATTATCAAAGTAATAATTATTTTAGATCTCAATCTGATACGAAAAATAACTAAATATTACTTAAAAAATCAGTGTAAGGAGCCTATTTTTGGATAACCTCGAAATGTTATATTACGGGTCTATAATCGTATGAGTTGGTAGTCACAAACTGCAAAAAACTATGTCTTTGCTGTTCGATGAGCGTTTTACACATAAAACCTAACCTCCAAAAGGCACAAATGTCAAATAACAATTTTATCATGAGCACAACTTTCTGTTGTCACTTTTATACGTGAAGTCCATCCAAAGTAAATATTTTGAAGTTTGTGCCTTTTGGAGGTTAGGTTTTAAGTGTAAAACGCTTAATTGAACAGCAAAAACATAGCATTTTGACAGTTTGTGACTACCAATTCATACGGTTATAGACCCGTAACATAATACTTCCATTTTATCTAAAAATTGACCTGAAGTGAATAGTTTCAACATTACAGATTTATTTAAATTTGTTTTTTGAACATTTATATATTTATTAATGCTTGCAATTTGATTATTCGAAATTTTATAAAAATATGGATACAAAAAAGAGTAAACTCATTGATGGCAGACAAATACAGAAAAGCATACACATAAAAATCCATAAAAACAATACGGGGCCAATTTTTGGATGAAATAGAAATGTTATGATAATGCAAAGTTATGGGTTTATCTTCGTATGAGTTGGTAGTAACAAACTGTCTAAAAGCCTTGTATTTGCTGTGCGATCAGACGTTTTACACGTAAAATCTAACCTACAAAACGCACAATCAAATACCAATAAGAGATCTATTTGATAACACATGCGTGAAGTTAGGTTTTATGTGCAAAACGCCTGATCGCACAGCAAACACATAGCTTTTTGACAGTTTGTTAATGCCTATTCATACGAAGATAGACCTGTGACATAGCGTTACCATAAAATTTCAATTTTATCCCAGTATTGACCGTTACATATTGTCAATTTAATACTTGTTTTTAATACACTTATATTTTTGGTAAATTTTTTTATAAAATATATTTTGATACTGATTGAGACTAAAACCGCTAATTTTGCAAAAATGGAATAAAAGGAGAATATTCTAGAAAACGTTATATTAACCCTTTCCCCTCGCGATTTGGGAAATTTATTGTATTTTGCCGCCGCAGTGGTGGCATCCGAGTGGAAAGGTTTAAATTATACCAAAGCATACAACGCATCAATACTACCTAATGTAAAATTATGCCATATTATTTAATAAAATAATATTAGATAAAAATAAAAATGTAATAGATAAAAAACATAAAAGAATCTATTTGAAATTCTGATAAAATAGTCTTATAACAATTATTTCAATTCACCTATCTTGTATTTCTGCAATTAAATTATTTCATTAATCATGCTATATAATTAGCAACGTAATTACAATAAATTCGACTGTTTTCAACGCGTATGCTTATTCATAACATGGTTCTTCAAAGTGCTTTTCTGATGAGCAGCATAATGACAATGCTGACACTTGAACATAGGTTCCATCCCACATTCGAATTTGGTATGTCTGATTTTGCTGACAGAGTGTTTGTAAACTTTGCCGCATTTTTCGCAGGGGTATACCACAGATCCAGTGGCGGTAACTACCCCGTGTCTGCGTTCTCGCTGTTTCCTCATCACGGCAGAAGGGTTGAAGCCAACACCAGCACCTGCTGCGGCAAGAGTCGCCAGGTCAGGCACGGCTGCTGCTGTGACGCCGCGGCGAGCCAGACTTACGAAGTTCCACCAGCGTTCGACCAGGGGCTTGGCTGCGAGGGCTGAAACAAAGCAGATGTTAGGAAAAAAAAAATAATGAAAATAAGTGCAGTTAAATATAGTTAATAACGCGTACCAAACACCAACAAAATTTAATCATAGTAAATGCATGAATGCAATATTACTGAAAAGTCATAAAATAATTATATAAATAAACATTTTGTTTAGCATGCACAAACTCACACAGACGACAAGTATGTATGTATGTATATATACATATTGATATATTAGATAGTTTTGACTTGGATTTGTAAATGTTGTGTTGAGCTTCAAACAAGAAATCCAATAGTAATAAAAAACCAAAAATTTTTTTAAAAAAAGCTTTATTTATTAACAACATTTTGGAACTATGTACATTCCATCTGTAGAACAACTGCATGATTGATTATGCACTAACACTTAGTTTATCACTAAAAACAGCTTTTTTTGTAAAAGACGTTTCAATTTGTTAACTTCCCGCAGGGTAAGTTTTAGTAATCCCCAAAAAATCGAAAATGAAAATTTGTATATATCTTTACGTTTCAAAACTCTGAACATTTTGGCATACATTAGAAAAATGGATGTATGTGTGTCTGTATGTATGTGCAAATACAATTTTTCGTCGGCGATTTGGAGAACACGGATCATATCAGTTTTGGAGATTCAATAAAAAAGTAAAAAATATGAGATATGGCGATCAAAAATGAATATTATACATATTTACATCAAATTATCAGGTATTTTATAGGGATTTTAATAATAAGTACAAATTTTGTTTACACTTCTTTGGGTTTGGTTTTTAAAGCAGTTACGCAGCGCGATTGCATTGAAACCAACCATCGAAATTTTCAAAAAAAAAATCCATTTTTATCAAAAATTTTAAAATTCTCAAGAATCAATTTTTTTCAAATTTTTCAAAAAAAATTAAAGTTTAAAATAATTTTAAATTTTGGTACGGAATGTTGCAGCAATTTGCCTTAAGGAAAGATGCCATGTACTACTAGTTTTTAATAATTTTTTCTTAGATAGAAGATAACACTTTTTGTTTCTAGAAATTTAGTATATTTTTAACTTCCCGTAGGGTAAGTTATAGTAATCGTCCAAAAATCGAAATCAAAAATTTTTACATTTCTCGACGTTTTGAAGGTTTCTGAACATTTTGGCATACTTCAGAAAAAATGGATGTGTGTGTGTGTGTGTGTGTGTGTGTGTTTTGTATGTCCGCGTTTTTTCGTCCACGTTTTCGGGCGCACGGCTCAACCGATTTCAATGGTTTAAAAAACATTCGATTCCTATCGATAGGGAGATGTGCTGATTAGTTTTTGGCAATGGCAGGTTCAGCCGTTACGGAGATATGAAGCAAAGAGTGCAGAAAATAGAAAGCGAGTTTTTGAGAGAACGGATCAACCGATTTGAATGATTTAAAAAACATTCGATTCCTATTGATAGGGAGATGTGCTGATTAGTTTTTGGCAAAGGTAGGCCCAGCGGTTTCGGAGATACAGAGCGAAATGTTAAAAAAATGGCAGTTTTTGAGAGAACTAAGCGTCCGATTTAAATGATTCAAAGAACTTTTTGCTTGTTTCAACAAAATAATGGATTTTGGAAAAAAAAATTTTTTGTTTCGAATTTTTTTTTCAAAAAAAATTTTTTGTAATTTTGGATTAAAAATTCAAAAAATCACCCAGGCTAAGCACAGTCTAAGCGCCACTCTGGTACAAATGTTTACGCAAGTGCGTTTAGACTGTTTATGTACTGGAGCACTTTTCCAATTTTGTGAAAATCATTGAAAAATGTGAAAATGCCGCCAACCTAAGCACAGTATAAGTGAAAAAGTCGCACAGAATTATTTGCAAATACGTTTAGACTGTGACTATGCGGGAGCACTTTTTCAATTTTGTGTAAATTTGGCAACTATTTTTTTTTTGAAATTTGATTCGAAATGAAATGACGATTGTTAATGTTCTGGAGATGATAAATTGATTCATTTATAATTAACTTTGCGTAGGGTAAGATATAGTAATCGCAAAAAAATCGAAAATGAAAATTTTTATATATCTTTACGTTTCAAAGGTTTCTGAATATGTTGGCATACCTTGGAGAAAATTGATGTATGTGTGTGTGTGCGTACAAGATGAACACTTATCAAATTTTCATGAAAATAGGTCTAGCGGTTTCGGAGATCTAGTAAAAAAAACTAAAAAAAATACCATTTGGCGGTCAACAATAATCATTAGACATTAGACATATGCACATCAAATTATCAGATATTTTATAGAGATTTTAACAATAAGTATAAATTTTGTTTACATTCCTATAGGTTCCGTACCAATGTTTATCCGTTAGACGGCGACGCGGCGCTTACGCGCTTCGATATTTAGTCTCTATGCATTTAAAGCAGTAGAATTGCTTTGAAAAAAAGTTCAAAATTTCCAAAATATTTAGAAATAAATTTTTCAACAAAAAGTCAGTTTTTGTCAAAAATTTATAGTTTCTCAAAAATCTATTTTTTCAGAGTAATTTTTTTTTCAAAAATGTTAATCTTATTAAAAAAAAATAATTTTTGGTACGGGAAGTTCCAGCAATTTGCCTTAAGGCACGATGCCATGCGCCCCACTAGTTATAGATGAATTTATGTTGGGTTGTAGTGTGAAATGAAGTAATTTTATTCCTTCGGAATATGATTTTGTGACAAAGTTGAGTTAGGCAGATGTCCTGAAGATGGAACGTACAAAGTTCCGAAACGTTGACAATAAATAATTAAGTTTTTTTTTTATTACCATTGGGTTCGTGTTCAAAGCTCAACACAAAATACATACATTTATATAAAATTATTTTAATAAACACATAAATACTACTAAGTGTTATCAATAATTCTTAGAACACACTTTAACAAATAACAATTTTTACCTTATTACACATTAACCACAACCATAATTTTGTATATTTATTTTATACCCACAGGATCATGTGAGCATTTCTAATTTCTAAAAATATTATTAATTCTAGCAAGAAAAACAAAGAACATATAATCTCTTTATTAAACATTTTACAAATTTCAGTAAAAAATAATTCTCATCGATGAGTTTCTACATCTGCATCCAATTTCTTCCCTCATGGTGCCTATTCCGATTTCCAATTTTCAATTTTTTTCATCGTTTTGCCCATTCAGGTTCATAATATTCTCAAAAAACCAAACATTTCAAGATAGTCATCAACGTTAGAAAATGATGATTTTTTTTTGAAAAATAATTTATTTTTAAAATTTATACATACAGAACACAATGGTAATTTTTCGTGCTTTAATATTATATAAAATTATTCTATTAAAATTTAATACTTATAAAATTTAGTTTTTAAAAATTCATACTTAAATAGTCTAAAATAATTATAAAACATAAATATAAATAAAATATTGATAAATAAATTAAAATTATTCCACAATATTATGCAGAGAAAGTTTATGCATTTTTATATTGTATTTTCTCAGGCTTATAAATGGACATTCGGTACACTTGAATCGAAAATCTTTGCCACATTCAAATTTCGTATGATGCCTTTGATAATTCAAAGTTTTATATCTTTTTCCACAATTAGGACAAGCAAATCCCAAATCTGATGACTGTGGATATTTCCAGAACCCTCTAAAACCTGAAAGAAAAAATCTAATTAGTATGAGATGAAGTATATTTATAATACTGTATTACTAGAAGCTAAAAAAGCTAGAATACTTACATAATTTATTGCTACATAAATAAATTTATAAAATAAAAGTTCTTTTACATATTTCAACAAAAATTTATTTTTCGAATCAGTAAATAATTACATAAATACAATTCATGAGAAACCAAGGAAAAATGTGACCGAACATTAAATTACACCCAATTTGAATGTTCACCATGACTTTTCGAATGTTTAGTATAAATGTGCATTTTTAAATTATATTTTCTTTTACTCGAATGTGGACATAAAGCACATTGAAATAAGTATCTATATTCACAATCGACACCTTTGACGTGTTCCAATATATTCTTCACCAGGTGGTATTTATTTCCACAACCTCGGCAAGTTTGATTGATTCGTTGAAGATCAGCCAAATTGAACATCAACTTCAGATCTGAAAAAATAAGTTTTTGTGTCAGTCATAAGAAATTAAACTACAATACAAATCAAAATACACTAATCGTAAGTATACCGCACAGGTAAAAAACAAACACGATATTTTATAATTAAAAAATATTTTATATTAGTTTCAAACATTTTAATTGTGTGCTTACATTATTAAATAAGACAAGTACTTTGTATTTATTTACAATAATTTTTTATTTAATAGTTGGCGATATTTTTAAACGCAAACACTACTTCTAAATATATTATGCATTATCATAAAAAAAACAAGTGATTTTGAATTCATTTACAAGAATCAATCGTTCTCGATATTTTTGATACTTGTTTATAGGAGTTAATTGCAGTCTATATTTTCAAAACTTTAATATTAATTTTAAAATCACATTAGGATGTATCAAAAATTATGAAAATATCAAAAAGTATGAGTAAGTAAACTAGACGAAGAGTATGAAGTAAATACATTTTTGTGAATTGAAAATTACAAATAAAAACACATATATTTTAAATAAATAGTAATATGGCATTAATTCTATAAAATATATATCACATTGGCATTTTATTTATTAAAATATGTATGATATATCATAATAAGATTATGATTATAATGTTATTATGATATATACAATAAGGTGGTCCTTAATATGGATGTTTTCGACTTTCCTTGCTCTTAGGGGTTCAAATACTTCCAAATTGATAAAAAAAAATCTCTAAAAGTTTTAGCTCATAATATTAACTTTAAGATAGTACGCACTCCATCCAAAGTTTCTATGGAAATAGCATGGAAAAATCTCTATTTGTTTTATAACATATCGACAAGTGAATCCAAATTTTGAGAATAACATTGTATTTGCTTATTCAGATCATAAATAAAAAAATTACAACAATGATATATTTCATAAAATAAGTATTAACTTAAGAAAAAGAATCAAGAAACCTTGGTTGGAATGCGGACTATCTTAAAGTTAATATTAAGAGCTAAAACTTTCAGAGATTTTTTTTGTCAATTTGGAAGCAGTTGAGCCCTTGAGAGCAGGAAATTCGAAAACATCCATATTAAGAACCACCATAAAATAATAGTACACGATCTTACTATTTTAAATTCTTTCAATTAACTGAAAATTATGATAGTTTATTTATGTTAAAACTAACAACTTAGATATATTTAGTTAATCACAAAAAATGGCACATAGTACATATTGTAAGTAAAATATAATAAAATAGATTTTTTTTAGAAATTTATAGCAGCTTTTTGGATGTAAAAACCAGCACATGAAAATCAATAACAACCACTTTTAAAACCTGTTCTAATACAACCTTCTTGATAAAACTACCTCTCTATATTGCTGAATACTTCTATCTTCGCGACAAATATGAATTTGGGAGCAACTGCAACCGAAGTTTGAAAAGTGCTTAACCAGCATTATATAATTCAGTCCTAACAAAATCATCTTAAAAATTAAAACTCATTTTAAAAATGCCTAGTCTCGTTGTTCCCGCCGCAAACACTTATATTTCACATATCCTCTAAATCGATTTCCGAAAATCCTCTTCTTTCACAAAGTACATCAAATTACACAGATGGAGGATGATTGTATCCTGGACCAGTGGTTCTGATTACATATCCATATAAATCGATTTTAGAGGATATGTACTCCTCTTCTTTCACAAAGTACATCAAATTACACCACCTCCAGATGGAGGATGATTGTGTCCTGGACCAGTTGTCCTGATCACATTTCCTAAAGTCTGTGCCCTTGCCCTGCATCCAAGGGCTTGCGATTTGCTACATTTCCAATACATACGACTATGAATATTCGAACAACTTTTATTTTTGTGATAGACATAACCACCGAAATAAACCAAACATCGACCGTGCTTGCCTCGAACTAATTGAAAAGTGGTTGTCGCTCTTGAGGAACTTTCCATGGCGAAAGAAGACAAGGAGCGGACAAATTCATTTAGACGACCTGAAAAGAGAGGAAAGTGTCAGATGAAAAGGTTAGAAAATATTAGAAGCACTTTTTGTTTAAGATTTTTAATTTAGGAATTATTAGAAATTGTGACTAATATGATATATTTTGATTCCAAATGTAATCAATTTAAATAAAGCCAATTTAAGCACGAACAAAAACATTTCAACTAAAAATACAATTGAAACAAGATCATGTAAATTCTATATACTTTTAATATTACGTAAATTATTAAATACAATAATTTTATTTTTATACAGATTCTTAATATAAAATTTACATCTAATTTAATTTTTTATTTACATCATAAATATTGATATGAGATCAAAATATCTGCATTTTATGAAATTAGAATTTTATTCCATTTTATATTTCATACACTATAAACACATAAATTTGTAGACTAATAAATTATGTTTGATTTTTTTTATCTTAATTAATTATTATGGGTTTTATTTAGTAGCAAGTGTCTTTTAATGTTGCTAAAAAATAGAAAACCACAAAAAAAGTGCGCATAAGGCAATTGAAGTAAAATTTTTTAGAACTTAACGAGATGACAATTAAGTTAAAGATAAATACATGTTACGCTTTTGATTTTCATTAAATTTAGATGTTTACAATATAACTTTAAACGATAGTAGTAGAGTTGACATTTGACATTCGTAACCCGTATGGTTGGCGTACAAGACTACACGTGCACGTGACCAATGACGAATCAGTAAGCCGTAACGCACTTCCGTTGCATGATCTCTGATTTACACTGTAGTCGCGCCTAAAGAAGTTTTACTTCAAAAACAAAATGATACTTCTTTATGTAAAAATAAAATAAATCCAAAGCACCAAAATTAAATGTGATCCTCCATGACCATCCTCCATACATGAGCCACATGAGACATGTAATCAAAAAAGTTAGTGTTGTAAATAGAAACATTTTTTGTGATTTGAAAAGCAAGAAATGTGGAATAAAATAAAGAAAATTTCAATAATAAGGACAATCAAAATAATTCTACAATTCGACAATTCTGACAATTCGACAAACTAATTCGACAATTCGACCAATTCTGAAAAATTTTAATTCATAGTTCGATTAATGTTTTCGGTAAACATTGTAGGGCAATGAGGGCAAGTAGTGGGAAATACATGAAAAAAAATTGATAAACAACTAATATTAGGTGACTTGAGTAATATTATGCGAGATAGTCAAATTGTGAGTGGACTAAAAAAGATAGAATTATTATTTCATAGATTTATAAGCAATAGTTCTAATCGGTCTCCAATTGCGAGCTTTCTGTATGATTATGATCTTCAAGAAATGCTACAATAACATTATTTTTTGTGACAACTTTTGCACGACATTTCATTCCACGTTTACTACATCTCCAAGTGGTTTTTGACCCTGTTATATGGTGTCTGAAATATTTAGATCCTCCATAGTGCAAAGCAACACCTCTTTTGCTGGAAACCAGAGTGAAATCTGTTATCATAAAGGAGTATACCTGAGATCTTGAATAAGCAGGTAGCCTGTATTCTGAAAATAATTAAAATTTAACTTTAATAATAGAATAATGGTATTTCTTAAAATAAATCTGAACTTACTTCCAAGGTACAAAATAAAAGTATTTATTTATGGCAAGTATTTATTCTTATAATATTCACTAATTGTACAAATGCATCGGCTCCAAAAATTACACATAAATGAACCTAAGTTTTTAACTTATTTTAGTGATGGCAAATCAGTCTTTTAAAAAATAGCATGTAAGTAGAACCTATTTGTATACACGCCCCAAATACATAAAAAATAATATAATATATTATTTTTACTCATTTTTTTTATTATAAAACTATCAAGTATTTCACCATTTTACAATCTTAATTAAATGCGCCAATATATGATGAAAGTTGCCAACACACTTTAGTGCACTTTTCAATAAAGGAGGATAATCGACTAATTTAAAAAAAAATTAATTCATAGTTTAACAAAAAGTCTTAACCCTTTCCACTCGCGAATTCCGAGATTTATATTAATTTTGCCGCCGGAGCGATGGCATCCGAGTGGAAAGGCTTAATACTTAAAAACTCGAGGCAAATGTGTCGTTATTTTTTACTGTGGTCTTACATATGTTATTTACAATTACGGAATGTTTAAATGAACAAAATTATTAAAAATTGGTCACAATTTTACCAAAGCTCAATACTAACACCCATTTTCGGGCTGACTTTGAGATTTGGGACACCCTGTATATTTATAAATATATCCTATTTTATATATACATCATTTATTAAAAAATTGATTACTATAAATAATTTTAAACATAAGAATGGGGCAAAGATAGTAACAAATTAACGTGTTTCGAATTTCTTTTCTTTTTCTCCAAAAATGCATAAATAGTTAAGTGTTATTCAATTTAATGGTTTATGGCATATTTATTCCATTTTCAGTGCGAAAATTTCTGAAAACTATTAATAAGGAAAAAATAGAATATAAGCTAAATAAATACTTGTATAGCCAAATTCATTACAAAACATATTTACAACATAGAATTACACTAGGATTATATAAGATTTTATTATTTACAGATCCTAATATCAAAACACTTGTAAGTTTTTACTTTTAAAATTTTTGCAAGTGCTTTTGAAGGAATTAAATTTGTATATCTGTTCGTAAGTTGTTTTTATGTGAATTCATTATAAAAAAAATAAAAAAAATCATGTTCAAATAGTATCGAATTTAATTTAATACACAGTGAAAACACTGTTATTTGAAATAATCGTTCTAAACAAGAAAAATCTACTATGAAGTAGACAAAAACAAAGTGTGATGTGAAGATTTATTCATTGAAGTGCAATTTATAAAAAATGTGGATTTGTAATAATAAAGAACTAATTCTCCAATAAAATTGGCCGAACATAGCATTATTAATGTTACAGTTTTTTTTCATATAAATTGATACTGAAAATGGTTAAAATGCTATGTGTTCATAGTGCATTCAGGCTTAGAAAAAAAAAAACAAAAAAAGGTTTTTATCGTAACTGCGCCTTTCTGATGTGTCATTATAACATATACGTGAAGTTAGGTTTCTTGTGTTAAACACACAGCAAATACATAGCATTTTGACAGTTTTTACTACCAATTCGTATAAAGAAAGGAGGTTGCCATAACAACGCTATGTTACGGTCTATTTTATCGGAGACTTGGCCCATAAAATATCATTACATTATGGTTTTTTATGCTTGAAATATAAGATAACACAGTATCACAAATAGTTTTTTTATTTAATGATTATGACTTCCTATAATATCCGTGATAGTATCATCAATGGTTTGCAATCGAGCTGGACATCTCGTTCCTCTCATACTGCATCGCCATCGAATTTGGTTACCTCTTTTTCGAAAATGAAATTGAAAAATATATCCGTTCAAAGAAATGTTTGGGTATCCTCGTTGGCTGGGAGTATATTTCAAATCCGGATTTTCACCATACAAATTTGCCATGGCATGTGGGTGTACATACAAGGTTCGGGATAGCATCATTTCTGAAAAAAAGATAACCCATCGTGTCAGTAAAAAATCTCATATATTTTATACACTAATTAGGAATAAAACCTCTGGAACCCCATACATAATATAAAATAAATACTGGTGTATATAATGGCTGTGCCATTCTATAATTGAATATCTACAATTCATAATTAACCACCAAAAACTAGTTTTTTTATTATATAGTAATTTTTACACCTGTTCTGAAATGGACAACAAGTAGAACAAAAAAACTTTAAAAATTCAAAATCTTCTGACTATTGTCAGAAATTTTGAAAATTAAAAATGTTAAAGTGACATGAATTAGTTTTTTAATCTTGCCCTGGTAGTGTTGTGACGTAGCATTGGATTTGGATTTGGATAATCCTCGAGACGGCTTTTGTAATCATATTAATGTGTTCGTATTTCATCATTTATTGCGTTTATATCGGCGTTTTTAGGTATTAACCAATTCGGCACATAATTTAGTGCAAAATCTTCTTTGGAATCTTTGAATTTTTATCACGTTTAATTTGGTGGCTGACCCCATAGTTGTATACCGTATGTCCAGATATGGGTTTAGAAACTAAAATAAGTTTTCAAAATTTTTTACATCTATTGGTTTGTTTAGAACTTACGCTACATTGACTTGCTTATTTAATATTGTTATATTATCAAAATATTTTATTGCAAGCAAATTGAACGTTTATTCTTATTAGGTAACAAATTATATTAAAAAAATTCCATCTTGTGCAAATTATTGTAAACAACACAGGTCCATATGGATAATCATGTCATTGTTTTCTGGGAACCATTATCGTAATAACATCAATAATTAAACATTATTTTACAAAATTATTAGTTATTTTAATAACTTGTTTATTATAAATCATGAAAAATTACACAACTTTTATTGAAACAAAATTAAAAGTAAGTTTTTATTACAACTAAATTATTTTCTATATATAACTACAATAAATAAGGTTACAATTTCGGATTAAAAAACAAAATGCATTTATTGGCATGTAACGATAAAAATAAACGAATCTAAATACAGGTAATAAAGATGTATTCCTTATTAAACACAGTGGAATCTTGAGCATCATCACACAGGTTTCCTATATTTAAGTTATTTTGATATTTAATTGAAAAAAAAAATGGAGGTGAGATTCAGAAACATGAGTATAATCTATCAATTTAGAAAGCTTTTAATTTAAACTAAAATATTTTCCGTATATAAAAAAAATCACTAAGATATAAAAAAAATAAAAACTAACAATATAAACTAATAATTATTAGTAAATAACCATAAAAATTTACGATTTTTTATTTAATAAAATCTATTTTGAGCATTAACAAAAGCTTCCTATAGTTCATACAGTATATGAGCCATTTAAATAGGAAGTACCATTAAAAGTGATAGCATCTGTTTCTGAAAAG